GGGACTGCTGCTCGGTGGGCATCACCACCTCTCCTGACCTCTGACCACCACCTCCTCCTCCCCCGCCCACCTGCTCCTTGGGAACGTTGAGCGTCGGCAGCAGCTGGTGGCGGGGAATGACGGCGGGCGAGAGCGGGCTCTGCGTCCTCAGCTGCCGTTCCCTGTCGTAGATGCCCTCCACCAGTNCTGCTGCTCGGTGGGCATCACCACCTCTCCTGACCTCTGACCACCACCTCCTCCTCCCCCGCCCACCTGCTCCTTGGGAACGTTGAGCGTCGGCAGCAGCTGGTGGCGGGGAATGACGGCGGGCGAGAGCGGGCTCTGCGTCCTCAGCTGCCGTTCCCTGTCGTAGATGCCCTCCACCAGTGCCTGTTCTGCGGTGTGACAGGCAGCCCGTCCATCGAGGAAGAGCGTCCCCTGGAGCAGGTACAGACTGCAGTGCTGTCCGGCGCCGTCCAGCACCACCTTCACCTCCCCGTCCACGTCCATGTGGTGGTGGCCGCTGAGGGCGCTGTTGCCCACCTGGTTCCGCTCCGCAATGAGGCGCACTTGGCCGCCGATGAGGATGCTGGTGCAGCGGAGGGCAGTGCGGTAGGCGGGGCCGAAGGTGTAGTTGCAGAGGAGGGCGACACTGCCCGCGCCGATCAGGCTGAGCAGTGACTGGTGGGCGCTGTCCACCAGGTAGAAGACGGCTCGCTGGTGGATGGCCAGGGTGCGCACCACGCGGTACGCCTTCACGATCTCCCCGGACACGCCACCGCCAGCACTGTTCTCCGTGTCAGCTCCCAGCACCGGCTCCGGTGGGGCACAGTGCACCAGTGGACCGTCGAGGACGAGGCAGACGGGCGTCAGGTGGCCGGTGGGCTTGCTCAGCAGCGCAATCATGTACTCGCTCTCAAAGACGCTGCCCATTCTCTCTGTGTTTCTTTAAGATCTTTTATTGGTGATAGTTGGAAGCTCAGAATAGGTGTGTCATAGGGCGAAAGAATAATGAACAATGAGTAGGCCTTAAAATCGAAATGAAACGAGTTGCTGTGTGAAAGTGTTTGTTGTTGGCAGAGATTGTTCTTTTTAGTCGCTCTGTGTAAGTGTAGTCTTTAATTGCTTCTTTTCACTAAAAGTATAAAATTAGAATGATTAAACAATAAAACAACTTTGTCACCTTTCCCTGCTTTACCAACCTTACCTCGAGTACAAATTTTTTCGTGGTGAATCCAATCGTCGTGTTGACATTCCAGGCTGCAGTAGTACTCATCATTGCAGCACATGTGGTTGGTTATGCGCGTTTGATAGCAGCACTTGCACCATTTACCCAATAGTGAACTCTTTGAAGAAGGATGTACCTTAATCAATGTCTTTTTCAATTCGTCGATTATGGCGGCCTTACGGCGGCCCATGGCTTCTAAAAGGCGAACTTTGTTGGAGCATTCGCTGGTGCAGGCGATTGGAGCAAGTGTTGAATCAGAATTGACACCAGTTGCACTTGAAGCACTGTTTCCCTCTGCAGTTGTTGCCGATGAAGTCAAAACTTTTGAAGTGCTTGGAATTGGAACAATGCTATCAACAGGCTCTTGCTTTATCTGAGCGCCTGGTAGAAGAGACTTTGTGGCGAGAGAGTTGGCGACAACGGTTGAACTGCCCTTGGCATTAGATTTTGGCTGAGCTTGCGAAGGTGCATCTGAAACGGCACTACTTGGACTTAGGTTTGTTGAAGCAGCAGTCGAAGATTTAGAAGTGGAGGCCCTTGGCTGAAACTGATCATAATGTGAGCTGTCAATTGTGATTTTGATTTGCAAACTGTCTTGCTCAAGAGTTTTGGAAACCTTGGCATTTGAGTCTTTTTTCTTGGAAGAAGACGCTCTTTTAACAGCAGAACTAACCCTTGATTGGTTTGATGTCACAACTTGAACATGTTGAGGAGCAGGAGCAACAGCGGTTTGAAGAGGAATGAAAGTAACATCGACGATTGGATCGTTTGAAAATCCGTTTGACTTGACTTTCTTGACTAAGTATAAACTCTCAAGAGTCAATTTAGAAGCGTATTCGGGAATCATTGGGACAACACTTTCAAGTTTAATAGCACATCGCGGTTTGGCTATAGCGTCCATAACAGACTCCATGTATTTATCCAGTTCTAATTTGACGGTCTCTTTAAGAGCAACCTGGAGTCCAGTGGGATCATTTTGAGAATACACAAAGCATTGATCCATTTTTAAGTCGGTCACTCTGAAAAACAAAATGAGAACTAGAAATCGTTACAATTATCCTGGTACTTACTTTTCACGAGAGCCAAAAACGCAAACATCAACTGCCGGGACAAACTTTGAATTCTTTTTCCCATCCTTAAAGGCACTAATATTGATAATTTTAGCTGGTTCATAACCATGGCCGGGAACTTGAGCCCAGACAAGACCGTGTGGACGATTACAAGCGACGAGGAACTGATCACCCTGATAAATCTCCATTTTGTCAACGACCGATCGAAGATAACATTGGTAACAATAGGATACTTTGCAATACTCGAAAAATCCAATCTCGTACAATTCGTTGGCATAACTAGCAACTTTGTCTTTCTTGTAGTAGAGGACGGCATTGTGTTGAATCTAAAAAGATAAAATAAGGATCAGTAAGCTGTGATGAAAAAAGACTTGGTACTAAACAGCATACCAGCTTGAAATCATACAGAAACTCTTCGGCCGAAGTAAATCCACCATTTTTTGCTTTGCGTTCGAGAAATCGTAAAGTCATGGGACTTGCAATCAACTGTTGATACTTCTTCGATTCTACGCCAAGATTCAAAAAGTAATGACTGTTTTCATACTCAATCAGCTTATCGCAAACAAAGCTGAGAGCTCGGTTCAACTCGGACAGCTCTGAGGGGGCCAGTTGAGCGATTCCGTCCTTAACGTGGTAGCACACTGGGCAGCTCGGCTGAAAAGAGCTGATCCCGTAGAGAGTTAGGCCAGCTGGAAGGGCGTCTCTGGGTGCTCGGCCATCTTTGGTCTTGTTGGCATCGCAGCCATAGTGAAATGCACGGCCACAGCGTTTGCACTCAAAGTCCAGCTTGACGTTGGTTGAGTCGTGGCAAATCCAGCAGAAGGTGTCCGCTCCTCGGCGCTTTCGAACGGAAAGAGACCGGGGGTCGCCGCGGCCGGTTTCGCCGGTTGAAGTAGAAGGTTCCATCTTGAGACGGAAGGGAAGAAGAAGCGCAGATGAACTCGGTCGCAAAAAGAACGAGCGAGCAAACGTGCAACAGCGAGCACAGTCAGCCTATCGCAATCTGCTCCGTTCTTCGCCGATCTCAGCGCCACCACATTTGGCGTCAGTGGCGACACCGCCGTTTTCTGTTGGACGATTTTTTTCAAAAGTTGTGAAACAAAGTTGGCGATATTTGTTTATTTAGAAAAGTAAAAACAATGAACAGCAAATGTAACATGGAATAATGAATGAAAAATATCACAAGAATGCAAAAACATGGAGTATCAAACAGAATGGCGAAAAGAATGGCACCGGTGATGATGGATGGATGATTGATGGCACTCACTAGGAGACAATGCCGGCGTCCTTGGCCAGCGAGTAAAAGATGGACTGGTGGTCAGAGAGTAGGTTTTTAGGTGAATCAAACTCGGCGACATTTCCGGCGTCCAGANTGAATGAAAAATATCACAAGAATGCAAAAACATGGAGTATCAAACAGAATGGCGAAAAGAATGGCACCGGTGATGATGGATGGATGATTGATGGCACTCACTAGGAGACAATGCCGGCGTCCTTGGCCAGCGAGTAAAAGATGGACTGGTGGTCAGAGAGTAGGTTTTTAGGTGAATCAAACTCGGCGACATTTCCGGCGTCCAGAACCATGACACGATCTGAGTCCAAAATCGTATTCAAACGGTGCGCAATGGTGAGCACTGTGCAGTGCGAGAACTGCGTTCTGATGGTCGACTGAATGAGGGAATCGGTTTCCAGGTCGACGGCGGCCGTCGCTTCGTCCAGAACGAGGACGTTTGTCTTTCGAAGCAGTGCTCTCGCCAGACAGATCAGCTGACGCTGGCCAACACTGAGGTTCTCGCCGCCCTCGNGTTCTGATGGTCGACTGAATGAGGGAATCGGTTTCCAGGTCGACGGCGGCAGTTGCCTCGTCCAGAACGAGGACGTTTGTCTTTCGAAGCAGTGCTCTCGCCAGACAGATCAGTTGACGCTGGCCAACACTGAGGTTCTCGCCGCCCTCGGCCACTGGGTGCTCAAGGCCAATCTCGAGGCTCTTGACGAATGTCTTCAGATGGCCCAGCTCCAGTACGTGCCACAGCTGCTCGTCAGTGTACTTGTCGAAGGGGTCGAGGTTGGAGCGAATAGTGCCGCAGAAGAGCACCGGATCCTGGGGGATGATGGTAATGCGAGAGCGCAGCAGCTGAAGACCCAGCTTAGACACGTCAATGTTGTCCATGACGATCTTTCCCTTGGCCGCCTCGATGATTCGGAAGAGCGCCAGAGTGAGAGAGCTTTTGCCGGCACCTGATAAGGGAAAACATTCACAGTATTATTAGTAAGAGCAGACAGCGTTTCAATATTATTGGCAGCACTCACCAGTCCGCCCAACAATGCCAATCTTCTCCGCCTTG